TCTTCAAAGGTCACCAAAACAGAAAACAATGACATTTTACAACCCTTCTTACATCTAACAGAGCACACAGATAACATTTCCTACATCTATCTCTAACAACATAATCAAGGAAAAATAAGAAAGCCTCTTCTTTATGTGCGTATTTGTGCTGAGCACATGAGTGGGCATAACTGTATATGAATGATTGGTTTGACAGAGTCTGATGTCTGCTAAGGGACTGTGGAAATTCTAATAGGGATACTATGGTTTCATTCGGTCTTAAATGTTCCATAATCCCTCTCTCAATGACATCTTCTACTCCCTGTAACGAGAATGAAAAATGCAAAGTGTTTGTAAAAATGCTACTGGGATTTTATGGTCACATCAAATGAGGACAAGCAGCCGAACTTAAAATTGTAAGCATTTCATTTAAATTCTCATAATTCTCATATAGAGCAATTCAGACTTGATGGACTGTGTACACTTAGTTTGTGCAAAATTACAGGCTGCTGTAGCTCTCAGTTTCCATCAGGCTGAAATTGCATCCTCTGTGAGCAGCTATTTTTATGTGCTGCTGCATCGTCAGTTTGATCCAAATTTGAAATAATAATTTCCTGGAGATGTTTCTTCCGTCATCAGCAGCACTTTTCTGAGGTATCTTTAACAGGTTCTCCAATATGTTTTGTGCTATGCTCTCAGCAGCCTCTCTTTCCCAAATGAATGCCGTTTTGTATGAGAAGCAATTTTAATGGCTCTTGGAATTGAAAAAATTGCTCCCTTTTCCCCTCTGTCAGCCTAACCTGAAACCCTACCTTATGTTGTTCTGAACACACATGATCATCTATGTTATATATGCACACTTGTATTGATATTGTTTGACACAGCCTGTTGTGTTTCAGTTTGACAGCCTGTAATTTGCAGACATTCTGGCTGCTAGCCTAGATAAAGACCATAAAGAATCAACCAAGATGATGAAGGCGACGCACCTGCAAATGCAGGAGCAGCTCCAAGGGCATCTCGCCTCCTCCTTTGCTCCCACATCTCATTATGATCCAGCTAATGGTTAAGCCTGGTGATTACAGAGGGGCGTCGGAATGGAACAGGTGGGAATTTATATGATACAGCCAAACTGACTGACACTGAGACAACAGTAATGATGGAAGGTCAAGTGCATGCTTACTCCCAGTGCAGCAAGGTGGATGACTGGCACTGGGAGCTGGACATTGCCAGGTCATTTTCATCAAGCTTGAATTTTAATAGAAAATAAATTGCATGCCATAATTTCTTTTTTTAATTAATCTATTTAACCATCTATATATTAATGAGGAGTGGTATAGTGGTCACAAAGGTGAAGACTTGTGTTCTGAGAAGGCTGCAAGTACCATGTTTACACACTGATACTCTGGCTCTCTTAGCACCAGATCGCTCCACGAAGCCGTGCTTGAAATCTGAGGACAGATTTTGTTTTTAATGTAAATTTAGATAAAGCAATAGATGATTATTTTTGCCTATGGAATAATAAAAAAATCATATACTGTTTTAAAGGAACATCCAATTTTTCTTTTCTGCATTCATGACACTCCGTTCGCTACACTTCTTTTGATTATTTGTTAAACATACAACAAAAAGCAACTTGATGAATAGGTATCTAGAAGTGGTAAAGACAACTTGTTTGAATCCAAGCGTAGCCTAAAAATAGTTAGGAAAGGGGATTTCAATTACTTTGAACATGGACTTTTGGCAGGTCTGAGTATTTCAGAAATAAATGCAAAATAATCCTTTGGATTAACAAAGGAAAGCATCCTGTAAAAGATTTTGAGATGGTAGAATTTGACCTTAAAACATGAAAGCTAGGATCCATTGCGATTGTGGGGATGGTGTATCTGTTGGTACCAATTTAAAACCACTTATTGCCAAAGTACTGTACTGTTACTGACGATATGTATCTTTTTTTTTTTTTACCACATTGTCATTTTTTACTCTGACTTTTAAAAGGATGGTGAAAACTTCTAAAGGAAGATGCAAAATTCCACCAAAGTCTCTATTGCCGTGTTTCATAAAACTGTGAACATCTAGATGACACTTAATAGACTTTTACTGTGTTGCTGGTCAAATCAGGGAAAACACAGGAATGTCCTCTTGAATGCAACCATTGCAAATCATTTTATTTTAATTTAAATATAACTTAAAGTTGTGATTTTCCACTGTTCCAATAAATTGCTTGTAAATTCCTGTTTTTTTTTTTTTAGGTTTTCCACTACAGCCTTTATTTTTTTCTGACTCTGGCACTTGACAAATTGCTACGCAAACCTTGATAATACAGTATGAGCTCAACACTGGTGGAGCTACGATCAATTGGTAGTTACTGTGTTTTTGCTGGGGGTCGGTTTTCCACGCAAAATTAAATCAATCTTGGCAATATTCAGTTGTGTACTCACTTAGCTACTTTTAAAAATGTAGAAATATATTTCTATAATCCACTATAAAAAGCTTAAATAGAATTTAAAAAAAAGGTGTCGTTTTTAATAAAAATGCATTCTTAATTTTTCCTAATGTAAAAGACAGTAAGATAATTACAATCTTTATTGTGACATTAAAACTCAATAATAATCCTCTGAATCTACTTTTTAATGTATTTAAAATACAAGTTAAATATCACACTACTAAAATGAATCAACAGACTACAATCAATTTGAGGTTCCTGAATGTCATGCTTTCTGTACATATCTGTTTGACAAAAATCTAATTGCAGTAAAAAAGCTCCAATCCAAGTATGTTTTCTTTTTCCGTTCTTTCTAGTATCATGCAGATTAGGCAGAGCATCACTGTCCAGCTGTGTAAAAGACATCACTTTTTCAGCACCAGCTGATGCAAGAAAAGTTACTGCAAAATACATACAGGAAATAACACACTGATATCTGAAAAATAAGCTCTTAGGGGAATCTCTGTTGCAATGCAGACTTCCAAGAAGCTGTGGGGTGACAGATGTCAACATGTGTCCTCTCCACACGATGAGAAACCATCACTGGATTGAAAATGTGTTCTTCTACAGCAAATGTTCTTTATCTGAAAAAAGTGTATTAGTCTTTGCAAGAGTACTAGCATCTGCACCTCTGCTGTGTACGTAAAGCCACAAAACAAGAGACGAACATTTAGACATTGAACCCTGAACACAGTTGAACCACCATACTTTCTAAAAAAAAAAAAAAAAAAAAAAGAATCATGAATAATTTCACCTTCCTCCTTTGTGTCATACAATATTTTGTGTCGGTATTCTTGAGGATTTTCACAAAAAGGGAATAAAAGAAGTACATAACCCTGAGAGTGTCAAGAAAGACACATATATACCTTTGATAAGTAAATCCTTCAGATGCATTCGGTAACTTTAATGAACAAAGTTACCTAATGCACGTGTGCCTTATCTCAAGCCACTGGAATATTAAGTAGAATAAATCCTAAATTGGAGACAATACTAGAGAAAACCTTAACCTGGGAGACTTTTATTTATGTCTCCTGGGTCAAATAGAAAACTGTTTTCACACTAAACAGCAATTTGCTCTGCGTGTCTTACACAGTTGCAATTCACACACTGATTTCTCAGCAGAGCAATCTGTGCTAAAGATGTACTCTTATTAAAGGAGCTGCAAAGGAGTAGGAGTGTCTTCCGAGCTCACAGGATGTAGGACATGATGCAAAAAAAGTGCAGTTACCCTATAGAATGTGTCTTATTATCAATACCTCAGGGATCCACAAGTACTGTAGAGAAAAGGAATGTCCAAAGCAGTCTATAGATTAGCTAAAAGTCTGTGTGTCAAAGTAAGTCTTGCAACACTTGCAATTCTAAAAAACCTTTAACAAGATTAACTGCTATTTTCACACATTATTTTACTTGTGATGTTGCACAAAAAGATGGCCAATGACTTTAAATCTGGAATTTGAAGCAAAGGTCTTCAATATTTTAGGATAATTTCATGAATGATTCCCAAGTTTTAAGAGTTTTGTTTTCCCTTACTTACAATCCAGATAAATATAAAGTAACAGTACAGTACAGTACAGTAAATGTTGGGTACAAAATGAGTTGGTAAGATAACTTGATTTTAAACTGACTTCTCCCTGAAGTGCTCCATTAAAGTGGAAGATTTACTTGTTCTATAAAACCCCTCATCTAGTTCTAAGAAATGTTAAAAACATTGGTGGTTTCTTGAAACATAAAATAGTATCGCTTATCAGTCTTGACAGTCCTGTGAGGATAAGAACCAGTGATAAAAGGTGTGCTTTTGTGCATTTCTATCCCACTGCATTCAAGTCATCCAAGATCTGAATTTGTCAGCAAAGTTAAAGAGACAGAAAGGGTTGTCTGTATTGAGTGGAAAAGAAATGGGTAATTAGCTGCTGGCTGACTCAGGCCAGTCGCAGCTTTGTGTGTCAGGGCAGGAATGGAAAAACCAATGAAGTACGTCTTCCTGCGTGTCATAAAGCTTTGCTTTATGGCCAGTTTGTGTAGCCTTGCAGATTAAGTTCAAAGAAAAGGGGCTGGTCTTTCCTCAATGCATCTTAAAATCGTGCTTCTCCTCAGCTGAATCTGAAGATCAATTCTTTGTGCTGAGAGAACTTTGGTGTCAGCAGCTGAAAGAAAGATGGGGGGAAAAACTGGGGGCCTAAAAATACATTATTAAAGGAACAATTTCACCTCAGATTTAATTCTACTCAGGGAGCAGCAGGATGATTCTACTTAAATTGCATATTTTCCATCACCCACTGTGGCTTTCATCAACATCACATGCTAGAAAGCTCATATCTACTACTGAGAGAGAACCAAAACCTCTGCATAATGTAATGTTAAAATTCAAACTGGAATAAAATCACAGCCACTCAGTGGTTTGTCTATGGTTTATACGAGGAGTGCATCCTCGGAAACTACTCCTAGTGTTTATCACAAGACAGCAGCTCCACATTAGATGAAATGGACCGGTGCCTGGAGACGACACCCATCCTTTCTTTATTTAGACACAAAGACCAGAACAAATGCATCTCTTAGCTGTCAAATATCTGGATACATTGCACTTCAGACAGAGTCTGAATGGTATGGATGTTGTTCCTTCTAGGTTTGAAGATAAATTAAACACAATACATGGATTTGTTTTTATTTGTAAGTGAAACATTAGTTACAAGACACAATACAAAGAAGCAAGACCATAACACACCTAAATCCAACAAAAATCACAAAAAAACTGTGTTTGTGCACTCAGTTTTTTAATCAAGGATCTCAAATAATGAATAAAACCACACAATCTATAAACCTTTTCAGTAAATAAACTTTACACTTTTAAAGCCCCACAGAAAGCTGGGATTAATAATTAGATATGAAAATAAAGACAAAATACATTTAATAACATCAAGAGTTGTTCAATGTAACAGTTTCTACCTCCAAAAGATTTAACAATAAATCAGTTTGCAGACTTTGCAGAAGTAAAACCCTTCATTTTCCCCTTCAACATCTCTAGCAGCAAAAAGCTAAAAAGAAAAGCTTGAATATTTCTAACTATTTGTTTTCCTGTGTGAATAAAGCGCAATCAACACTTTCACAGGTGTAAATGGATTCAAGAGATCTTCTGAGCTGAGGTTCACTTAGCAACAAAACCAACATATGTAATCAATGACAGCTCAGGAACTAGTTAAAAGGATGGTTCAGTTTTTTTTTTATCTTATCAGATTATCATCAGTATTTTCATTAACTGTAGCAGACAGTCACAATATCACTGGGAATTCAGAGAGCTGGAAGGCAGTCAGATAAATAACAGTCCTGTTTTAGTGTATCCCAATAACTTTGTTCAATTCAGACTAAATTTATTCAGTGTAGTTCTCTTGAAGACAGTACTGCATTAATGCAGAAAGACTTTCACAAAGATCCATAATTTAAGTTTATTTTGGCATCTTCCAAGCTGCACAGCAAATGTTTTACTATGCTAAACTGCTGTTTCAGCCTCTATAGTCGGCTGTATCGGTTTGTCTCTTCAGTTGTGATTGATCATTCCAATCTGTGTCCGCCAACAATAAAGCTAACTTTTCAATTTTGCCACAGGCCCTTACTTGTAGAAGAAGATACATTACGCTAGTCTTGTTAAAAAACTCATCTGGGTAGACTCACAATACAAATGTCAGCCCTGGGGTAATAACACAGATTAAGTACAGAACGACAAACCCGGTAGCTCTCTTGTGAAAGTGTAGATGTTTAATATTGGCTAATGCAACCTTTTGTCTGAGTTGAGTTGTTGGGAATTGCAAAAATCAGAAAAAAAATGCTTTCAAATATCAGCCTTCTAGCGCTTTTAGGATTTCTTTATGTTTCTACAAACTCACTGTTATAAGAACTCTTACAAGAAGTACAGGGATTATTATTAATGATACCATTACTGAGCCAGAAATGTGAAAATATAAACTATTGCTGTGGGAATCAGGGCTCAAAAGGCCAACAGATAATGGATAAAAGTATTAACCATTGCCATTGTGTATTACACAGTCTAGAGTATATCTATTTTTTAAACAATTTCACTGAATTTTTAGCTATTATTCAGTTTGAAGGCCTCAAATTCCAAAGTTCAAGTATTCAGTACATCTGTTACAAAAATATAAGCAACACCAGAGTAGATTTTAAGCTGTTGTTTTTGCTTCAGCAATGGTTTGCTGTGCTATCAGGCACATTAAAGCAGGTATTTTGAGTCAACACAGTGTATGTGACATGAGAGCTTAAACCCAAAAACGTTTAAGGACGTTAAGGATTGTAGTTTCAAGTTGCTTTATCGCTATGATCAATTATCTAATTGTTTTTAAATACTGTGATAATTTGCTGTGAATATTATAAAATGTACTAGCATGTTCCAGCAAAACATGCTTATTTTTCCAGTGAGATGAAAGTTATAGTGGGATAGTTGCATGTGAATGAATGAGAGATAGAACATAGATAATTGTAGGCCCTGTTGTTTGATAAAAGGTGAGACTCAAGCATTTTTCAATGACTGCTAAAGGCCCAGTGCTAATATTGTGCGATAACACATTTGAACTTGTAGGTTAAATCAAAATTAAGCAAAAAATCAAATCAGGTTTTTCTTTTATGAAATCCAATCAATTTGTGTTGTTGTTCCCATTTCCAGATATATGCGACTTGTATGTGATCTCCTGTGTGAACTGCATTAATACAACCAAAGTGTCCTGAATAAAGATTAGAGGACCCAATGACATCACAAGCCAGCATGCTCTGTGTTTACAGAAATAAACATTGATGGTACTGTTGGAGAGCATCATGCGATCTTTCATTTCTTTTTCAACCTCAGCTTGTGTATTAACAACACAATCTTTTCAAGAAGGTTGAAAATAAAGTTCAGATACGTATCAGATTCAGAACCACATAGAAAAGTGGCCTGGGTCTCATAGGAAAAAAACTGATCTATGTTCCTTTGATTGTCATGAAAAGATCAGATACACGTCGCAAATGTGCAAAAATATCACATTTGGGTCACTTCGGGCTGCTGTGTGAATGTAGCTTTAGAGTTAACATGACCAACTCATTTTTACTTTTCCTTATATTAAGGTTGCAAGATAAAATTATTACTACATTTACAACTCCATAAAATGTAAAAACAAAACAAATGGACTCCACCTTTAGTTGTGCAAATGGTAAACAATGCACTAATTTATTCACTCAAAGCTCTTTACACTACAATCACATCCACACTCCTTAACAGACATCTTTAAACTGATACACAGACTGAAGTTAAGTGCCTTGCCCAAGGGCTAATTTACATGTGACAGGTGGAGGTGTGATCAAACCTACAATCTTCCCATTGCTATACAATCTGCCAAATAAGCCACAGTAACACCACCTATATTTCATCCTTCATCCGATGGGCTTTCTCAGTACAAAGCTGGTGAAGAAGAAGTTCTCTGTTTTGCAGAAGATTATTTGGCAGATTTTCTGCAGACATATAATTTCGGGTCATTATCTGCTTTTCCTTAACTAGCTTTGAACTTTGAAAGCCAGACAGATAAAGAACAAAACATTGAGAGTCTTCATCAGTGTAGCATAGTTCCACCTTTTCTCTCACTCTTAAATGTTAGATCAAAGCTGTTTTCATATGGAAACACTAGAGATGGTGAAAGAAATGTGTGGACAGTTGATTCTGAGTTTCTTTTGCAGATGGTGTTTACACATACCTCACTGCGGGGATTTTTATTTGCTGCAGAGGCACTTCATACAGCTGGAAATAGAGATGAAGTTATAAGGGAGAGACACTGACTTTAGCTCACAGGAGGCAAGGCATTATAGAAAATACAGCGTGGAAAGTGCTGTAGGTTTTTTTTCCAACATACTGCAATTGGAGATGATGCTTCCTGTCCTTCTGACACTTATATCTCACTTAAGAATCTAAAATAAAGTTGGAGCAGTGTTCTTCTCTCTTAAAAGTAGCAGATATTTTACCGACCAGATTCTGCTGGAGAGCTTGGATGATCTGTGTCAACCCACAGCTAGCAGGGTTAAACAAGTGACTGTATTGTTTTAATAGTGGCTTTACTCAGAACAAACATAGTTTTGTTTCTAAAGATATTTCCGCTTGAAAACAAACAATAGACAGGTATTATGCCTATGCAAAGCAAGTGCTAGGCTAGCATCAGTATGTTTACTCTGTTTTAAACAGGGTTTAAGTGACATGTTCCGGTGTGGTTGCAGTTTATTTTGTGCTGAAAAAGAATTACTTTTTGCTATGAGCATCTTAAAATCTGATGGCTACATATTCAGCTGTGTTCTGCTGTGCACAGTGCAGAGCGGGTTGCATTGTGTAGACAGATAAGAAAAAGCAAAAACAGTCCCTACATATTAAAGCTTTTTTTTTATGAGAGAAAAAAACAATTATTTAAGTTCAAAATTCTGAGGACTCATGATAGTAATGCAATTCAAAACATTGTATTTGTGCCCTTCCATTAATCATTAGAAAAGCTTGTTTTGGACTATAGAAATAAATAGCTTTTAAAAATTACTGAGAATATTATTGCATGCTAATATTTATTACCAATCACCTTTTGCAATAAGCTCAAGATCTTTGAGTTTTGAAAGCCATCAACTTAGCCTTTTAACTCCTCATGTGGGTATATGTCGGACTCTGCCTAAGGCACAAAAAATCTTAACATCACTGTCAGTCTGAAAGATTACCCTAAATCTAAAATTTATAAAGGTACCAATTAATTTGGAGTTCAACAATTGGAATAAGAAAAAAAATGGCTTTTTGAATCAGCAGAATAATGAGCATGGGCTAAATGGAGATATGAAAGCTAATCAAATAAAAAAGAATAGGCAGCATTTTCTTTCCTAAAAATTGGCAAAGTAAAACCAAATCCACTGTTCCCAGGGTTGCAGCTGGACAAATGCCATTTATCTAAAAAATAATCCTTGATCGAAACCCCAGGTAATATCTGTGTGGGTATGCAGCAGAAATAGTAGTATCCAACATTTACAGAATTGTCACTTTTAAAATAAAAAACAAACCAACAAGAATCGAACAAAGGAATTTCGGTATTGGCCAGATTCACAACTTACATTCTTTTTATCAGCATCTTGAGAGATTGATATCTGATCAAATATACATTTATAAATAAGCAGATTATTTGCCTTATCACGTGACAGACTGAAATGTTCTCTGCTGCACTAAGCTTTGTGACATGTTTCTGAGTTCTGCAGCAGAATGAACCTGCTTGTATCCAAGCAAAGCCAAAGTCTCGCTGCAAAGATCCTGAATTGTTCTTACAATGTCAAAGCTGAGACGGAGCCTCCAGCTTTCTGCTGTCGCTCTAGAATCTCTCGTGGTGGAGTATTTGTAATTCCACTCAGAAGGAGCAGACACATTGCTCTTGGTGTTTTTCACAATCCACATCCTCACCCTTTCTTCCATCTCTAGCCCCAGAAAGCTGTAAATCTCAGTGGCCCTGACATTTGGGTTAAGAGCCAAGTCCTCGTACCGCACCAGCATGTAGCGTCCTCGCAGCCATGCTGGTCTCTGCAGCCCTGTTCTTGCAGAGGCAACCATGTCCTTACAGGTGCTGGTGATCTGTGAAAGGTCCACGTATCGGGGCTGGCGTCCAGTGGCATTCCATATTTTCCAAGCACGAAACTGGTCAGAGAATGCAGTGATGCGTGAGGCCAGGATGGCTCTAGGGTCTCTCACCAGGTGGATGATCTTCAGGTCCAGGCGCGGATCTTCAGTGAGAGTACGCAGGTCTCCCACCTCTGGAATCCGAACGGTTTTTATGGCTATATGTCCTTTTGAATTACATGACATGGATGCTAAAGTAAGGTTCAGAGCTCCACATTTTTTAGGACACCAGATTTCATCAGGTAAATCAGATATCGCAGCAGTCCCCCCTTCCAAACAAACTGGTGGAGAACAGAGGGCATGGCTTGAGCTCCTTCGGAAAAATGAGCTTGTGATATGTTCCTGGGGCTCAGGGCGGATATAATTCTCCATAAAGTGAAGATCGCAGGTGTACAGGTTTAAGAGGAGATCCCTATATGCTCCCAGCAAAGCTCTGCGATCTAAAGTTCGGCGGAGCCTACTGCTGGAGTTGGTGAAGGCTTGCTGGACATGGTAGAGGGGCTCGAACACATAGAAGACCCCAGGATGCTGGTTGAGGAGTTGTCCGGTGAAAGAGGAGCCACTGCGTGTGGTTGTAAAAAGCAATATATGTTTCTGAGGTAACTCGATGGGTATCCAGCTTTCATCGCACAAGGCAGCCCATCTGTAATCTTAAACAAAGAAAAAATAAAAACACAAAATTCTTATCATTCATGTCTAATTCTCACAAAAAGTTATCACAAAAAGGCTTTAAAAACTCAAATCCAAAAAATCTGCACTACTGTAAAGCAGTAGCAAATTTTAATGAGCAACTTTAACTCATTCATGTGAATTACAGTATAATTTGAATCCTGGAAAACTGCATATTAAAGCCAATACAGTTTGAATAATGTAGTGAGTAAACACGGAGGAGACTGATGGTGGTTTCCAAAGGTGGGTTATGAAATGGTGGATTTCTAAATATAGAGCTAAATAACTGATGCGTAATCACTGCTGATGAATAGTTGATTGCAAAGGGGATATTTTTTATGCAGTAGGCTGTTGCTTGCAAGTTACATTTGTGTGGTGAGAGAGATGATCATAAATGGAAGGAAAATTAAGTTTTATTTATCCTTTCTTTCTTTTCAGGGAGATCCTCTTAATTTGCACCTGTAGCAGAAGTAATGTTGAAACCTGATTCTGAAAGTCTTTGTTTAAAATTCTGACGCTACCATTAGCATGTTAAATGTTAAAGTGCATCCACAGCTGCAGCATTTTAAGTTTCAGGCACACAAATAAAGATGCTGAAAAAGTTTTAAATGTGTAAATGTATTTTCTGAGTAAATGTATTTTAAATGGGGCTATTGATATGAAATTAACACCTTAGTCCACATAAACAAAGGGATTAAAACAATTTTCAATACTCCTACTGTGGAATATTGAATAAGTAGTGAAGTATAAGGGAAGAAATGGCAGAAAGCATAGGTAAACAAGGAGATGCAATCCCGAGAAAGACATGTTTTATAGATCGTAACAGTTGTTTTAGCATCAGCTTTAAAATGTAGACTGATAAACAAAAGCAACAGACAAAATATAGAGTGAAGGTAAATTTGTAAAGGTTTAATTTAAACACGAACAGACTGTCACAACCCCTGGATAGTTATGAAAGGCAAAAGGGTTTTCATGTATTGAGACAATAATTCTAAATTTATTTAAGGGTCCTGACAGTTGGGCAAGAAAACCAAGTGGGTGACCCCGAAAAATAAGAGGCAGGTTTTGTTTTTAGATTCAAATGAAGTCTCTTTTAGATACTGTTGCCCCATTAACACAAGGCTGACCCGTGTGAGAGAATGGTGTGAATAACAAAAATCATCTCCAGAGGCCATGTCTTCTCCCACATCAAACATTTACATGTTTGGACTTTGTAAGGGAGCACCAAACAAGGGACCCAGAGAGATGGAGAGAACTATCATTCTTTGACAAGAAAAATGCTTTTATCATTACTGGCATGGCAAGATGATTTCCCTGGTGATATTTTCTATGTGACACAGTGCAGAAAGCTTTATCATGATTCAAAGGAAACAATGGACTGGGCTGAGCAGGGACGGTTAACTGTCTCTGGCTATGCAAAAAATGTTGAAGAGGGCATCTCCTCTTACTGAGGTTTTTTTCCTATGCAATAATGGTGTTCTTTTATTAAAACCACTCTTCAGTTTACTACCACCATGGACGGTTCTACACAGAGGCCAGCCGGGGCCACCACCCCTGTAGAGCTGGTCCTGGCCCTGGTATGGTCCTCTTTCTTATGATTATTATGTGCAGGCAGAAATGCTGCCATTAACTAGTCTTTTCCCCTTTTTACCATTACAATTCTATTGCAACAATGATTTAAAATCAAACGGGTTAGACTTTAATTCATAGTTGGTACACGTAAAGAATAGGTTATACATCTACCACCCTAGAACCCTTTTTGCAGAAGAGTCCACTGCTGAAGAGACACATGTTGAAGCTGATAAAAACATGCGGATGAACATTTAGACAAAAACACCTTGATGTCATTATAAAGAGGAGTGGCTTTACAGATCATTGTGCAAACAGCACAAACACAACAAGTTATTTCTATCCATATCAAGACTTTGCATTGATTTACATTCATTTTAGTGATTGTATTTATGCCTAACCCTGACATTTACCTTAAACCTAACCATTAACAGCATACTTCTAACCCTAACCTAAAGTGATTTCACACCATATTTCTAAACTGTCTCCCTAACATTAAAATGAGTGCCCACCACAATACCTGTTGGTCCTCAGAAGGTAAAAAAATATATAAAAAAACAGTCCTAAATATAAACATAAACAAATACACACCCACAAGTTCATACATAGCTAGCCCTAACCCTTACCTAAACTCAATTAACCCTTAATCATTAAATGAGACCCCTGACCCAAAAACAGCAATTCCTCTTATGCGGTCCAGACATCAGGCCCCACAAGGAGCAGTGGTTCCTCAAATCATGCTAGCTTTCCAGAAAATTTAACATATAATGTATTAAAAAAAAAGAAAACACACACACACATATATCCACATTTTAAATACAAAGCGAGGATCTTGCTTACAATCTCTTTGACTACAATTTAATGTATATCGGAGGATGTTCTTCCGGGTGGATCATCAAAATAAGTGGTCCTCCTAAATGTCAATCATTCTGGTGATATGTATACGTAAGGTCTACATGCTCGTACTAATTTTCACTTACCGGTGGTGAGTCTGAAATAGTAGAAAATAGCAAATCTTCTTTTGGAAAGTAAGCTTATACGAGTGATTGAAACAGAAACTTTTAAACACCGTGCACGAAGAGAAATGGGTTTGTACACGCTCTCGCATGAGTTGACTAGGCGTTCCACTCGGGAGTGGGTAGAGCGTTGTGCATGTGCATTTTTTTTAAAGTGGAGAAGGGCGGGGTCTTTTCAAAAAACTTGGAAATCCTCTATAATACCTTTGAACTTAGACACATTTTTAAAACCTATGAGGTTAATAAACGAAACGATAAATAGAAATATACAAAACTATTATAATCTTTTTAAAAATGAGCACAAATCCTCCACTATACCTTTAACGTATAGCGTTACCATGACACTTAACTTACCGGTAAACCTAACTATTAGTGGTACATACCTTAACCTGTGCTTAACCTAAACCTAAATCACACCTTGGTACTAAACCTAGACCAAGAAAGGAAGGACCTGTAAAAGGTCCTCACTTTGTATCAGTCCTTACTTTACTAGTAAAATGTGTCCTCACTTTGCAGTAAGTACAAACACCAACACACACTAAAGATAACAACATATGGTACCTGCATATTTCATATCATTGAAGGTTGAATGAAGAAACCTGCAGCAATGCTCTTGTAAGAATCTGAATGGCATTCAAGGGTTTCTTTTTAAACAAGACGGCGATCCAAATTTAAACCTCTGAAACTCTCAGTTGGTTTCAGACCTATAAATAAAGCTACTTGAAAGACCCAGTTAATCATCAGGCTTCAAACCGATTGAAAATCTATGGAATGAACTGAAGATGGGAGGGCATCAAAAAGATTCCCAGAACCTTTAAGGTCTAAAAACAGACTATGTCACATTAAACCTCAATAATGCACACAGGGCATTTCCTAAAGCTGTTATTACAAATAAAAGGCTTTTATAGTGCACACCCCCTGATTTCAGTCTGTACACCGCTTGTTTGTTTCTAGTATATTTTCGCAAAATTAAACTTATGGAGTGATTTGATATCTTTCTAGGTGGAGACTACTTGGATTGTTAGCCACATACGATGTTAATGCAATGTCAGTAGTCCCACTTAAATATGTAGCCTGAACAAAATATTGTTTAGATTAATACTAAATTCTCCTGTAGTATATGCACACTTTTCAGCCTTTAGCACACTTTTAATTTGCTATAACACCGTACCTCTGTGGTACCTGCTCCTGCAGCGGTAGGCTCTCTGACAGGGTCCAGACAGAGAGTCCCTCAGGGTTTGGATAGCCGTGTACTGGACCCCAAGAGAAGCACACACCAGCAGCAACACCGTCTTCCAGGAACACTCCATCCTGCCCCCACCTCCAGCTCTACATCCTTCACGCTGGCGCCGTAGGGAAGACACAGTAAAAGACACTTAATGAGATTTTGTTTCGATGACTTTCTTCAGTTTTTTGCATGTTCAACTCCCATATAGTGAAACCTCTAGGGGATTTACTGATGGTCTTCAGAGCAGCTCTTATTGGAGTTGTTGGAAATATTGCTTAAAGGCACTTCCTGGACAGACATTTGCATAAATGTTTAACATTCTTTTCTACCATATGTGCCACGTTTTTTCCAGTCTAGCATGCACATATTAACAACCTAAACTTCGACATAATTCATAAAAGGTTTTATATTATATGCCATAATAAAGTAGTGTGTAAAGATTAAGTGGAAAATTAGGACATTTCTTTTGAATCCAGAAGGTTTTTAGTGGTTTGACCAAAGCTAGACACATCTAAAAGGTAAAATATTTGCCAGGGTGTTCTGTCAAGAAAACAAAACACTACAGAGAAGCTCAGTCCGTTTTGATGGAAAGAATCTGCTGACAGATATCTTCAGGCCACAGACCTATAAGAATTAATTTTAAATGTCAGTAACAGCTCTATTAACCTTCCACTCTTAATAAAGTTAGTGATAAATTAATTGAGAAATACTTTTAAATATACAGGAAGTTGAATATTCAATTGGACTGAGGGCAAAATTGGATAATTGGAAGATTTTACTGTGCAACCCTAGTCCAGACTTTGAATAAGCTATTATTGAAGCTGAACCTTTAACCTTTACTCATGTCTCAAGTCTTTTGCAGCCTATAACAGGATTTTCTTTAAATGCTTGCAGAACTTCGCTCTTTATTTATCGGATTAGTTTCTTATAAAAGGAATTAAATATTATTGTTGAGTGTTTAAAAAAAAGCTTAAATATTGTGTATGAACAGTGAACATGAACATTTTTACACTGTCAAAAAACTACATTATGACTGTGCAAACGTCAGACCTTCATTTGGATAATATAGCAGTGATGCATCTACAACAGCTCCACAATTCAGGACACTTTGCATACAGTTGTGTAATTGCATTTCATCTTAACTTCCCTCTCTTCTGGGTAATTAAGCCTATAAGCCCACGAGAGAGCTGCATACTCAGATAAATAAAGCTCACTTCTTGAGTAGAGAAGTTTCTTTTGTGGGCTTCTCCATCTTTTTTGCCACTGGCCATCAAAAAGCAAAGGGAGATGGGATTTTTCCAGATGGAGTTGGGATAAAAAAAAGCTGCCATCCATTCATCGCTGCATGCAGAAAACTGATGGTAGATAATGACATCTGATCACTGAGTGCAAACTATCCCTTCATCCCTCAAAGTGGCTTTGCAGAGGCAATCATTATCAAAACCACAGGTAAATACCCTATACATCAAATTCCTGACAAGAATAAATGTTCCCCTCCCCTTTTTTTAGCCTCCTCACCCTCGTTCCGTCTCTCTTCAATCTGCTTCCTCTTCATTAATGATGTTTATGTGTCCCTGGCAGACTCGTATCCTCGGGAATGTATCACACTGAGCTTTTGATGTTCCATTAATCACAAACAGTGGCAACCGAAAGACGTTTACTCTGTGGGTGAAGGGAAGCGGAATCAAGCTGACATCATGAGACATTCTGTTTGAATACAGTTAAATAAATAGGGAATGAACTCATCAAGGGGAAAGACCTTCTTGGACTGGAACCTACTGAAAGACAGAAAAGCAGGAACACGCAATTTCTTTAAAAAAAGTCGACCGAGTTGGCAGCTGTATATAACAAGTGCATGAATGGGTACAAATATAAGAACCTTTGACCAGTCTTTTTTTCCCTGCCACTTAAAAAAGAATGTCAATTCAATAACTTCGCCATCCACATCCAGCTTTCTAACCCAGGAGCATCACATAATTCCTCAGAGGCAGGTTTTGTTTTCCCTTCCAGACATGATCAGGGCTCAGAACCTTGTTTCTCCTCACCTCACCGCCCTCCGGAGAATGAAGACAGATGCTTCAATAGATTTCAGCAATTTGATTTGCAAGTCCCCCCTGCTGCCTGTCTTATAACTCCTTCAGCAAACGGACTTGCGTCAGAAATAATGGACACTCTGTCAACAGCTGGAAGGGAGACTAGAGGGTTCAGCTTTTTGTATCCCTCATAAAATAACAGTTCTTACAAGGGATAAAAGCCTGGGGGACAGGATCAACTAAAGATTATGCAGTGTGGCACACGTTCCTCGGCCAAGTTTGAGTTGTAAATTCAGTGAGCGCATTCGCTGCTGCTGCTGAGATAACACAGCCAGCAGCAAGACTGCTGCGGTGCACGGCGTGAGTAAGGTAATTGCCTCTGTGGAAAAACAAAAGCAACAAATGAGGTTAGAAGTTAGTGATGAAGGTGGGACTGAGGGATTTGGGATCCGACTTATTGAGGGATGGGGACAGAGCCATAGATTTTTCTATTAGGGGCCCCTCAGAGAGTTCACACATCCACAAAGCAAGGCTGTTTATTGGTGAAGGCTGATGATCAATCCTGGAAAACACAGAGGGGCCGAGCAACAGCAGCAGCATCGCCGGGAGCCCGCGGCTGGTCTTTTTTGCTCTGTTCCTCGTTTATCAATCTCTTCTTTTCCTACCATTTTTCTCTCTGTTTTAACCCATTCCACGCGTACATAGCTGCAGCAAACATGATGCATGTGACCCCTTGGCTACACAAGGAACTCTTGTGCGGTAAAAAGATTAATCTTGTCCAACATGATTCCTAAAGGACAAAATACACACATGGGCAAAAGGCATTGGGGTGGAAGATAGAAAAATGAAGAAAAAGGTCAACTCTCATCGTGTCTTGTCCATGATCATGACAGCATTGCTTTAAAAGGTTGCTGTAAAAGGAATGGAGGCTGGTCACATAAATTCAGGGAAAAAAGCCAATTCAACCTGTTTGGCTTAAACAAAATAAATATATACAAATCAAGTTCATCATTATAATTAACAACAGTAACTTCTGCATATTTAAGCTTAAGATTTGGGGTTGAAGTTTGAGCGTAATTGTGATGATTAAAAGAATGCGTTGTAGTTTTCTGTGGCAAATAAGGTGGTGCTTGAATAAAACTTTGGTGCCTTGGAAAACTTAGACTTAGACAGCATTTATTGTCATTTACAAAACAAAAATTTGTTTTGTACAGCTCTCATGAAATTTCCATGATGAATTTTCTTGAAGTGCAGCAGTGATCAAATGTAAACCTTGTGGGAGAAAAACCATGGTGCAAAACAATATTAGGGTGAATCTAAAAAAAAAAAAAAAAAATTAAAGCTGACTGCTTGTTGTGATTTCTTAATTAAAATGGAATCTTAAGCTTTAAACCATGTTTTAAAAAAATTACTGAGAAGTATGTATGAGAAAATAATTTGGCCAGTTTAAACTCTTTATATTTTGGATAAGAGATAATATTAAGAAATCCTTATTTGATAAAAGAACTGAAGTTTTCCAACAGATCAGATGCCAACAAAAGTCATTTATTTCCCTCAGGGATTATTAAAGTATTTCTGATACTGATTCTGATTTAAGCATGTTGCTGTACCCTGGCACACCCTGGAGCACAACTATTAATCAAGTTTCTTTTGGGTGTGATTGACAAAATAAAACTCTTATAATAAAAATCTTCCAGACACCACGGAGCATTTTCAAAGCTCTAATGGGGTCCATTCATCCTAATCTTATGCCCGATTGGTGTAAACACGTGGATGAAAGTTATGAAGACTTTTAAAGGATCTGATTTCTATAATATACCCGATTTGAAAGAAAAACGTCTCTTAAAATTCTAATTTATACATTTTACAAAAGTTTAGGAATTTATGCAATGAAATATCCACCGAAACCCCATTTGGCATGATTGTTTTGCCTTCGATCCGCTGCTCCACCAGCAAACTGTCGGTTTTCTGCGCGTAAAAGGAACAACATGGGGAAATAGAAAAAGCAACCCTACCATCAGCGCTTTCAACAGATGTGCTCCTTCGATCAGTTCAATCGCCAACGATGCATCTGTAAACTGGGGATGAGAGAGCGCATCGGTGTGTGTATGTGGGGGCGTCAGCAGTCGCTGGTGTCCGGAGCCGTGCGTTCAGAGACTGAGACGCGCCACGGATGGAGAGCTGACGGGAAAAGAAGCATGCAATGTAACCCCCATCCTGAGGCATCAGATTGGATGCGAGTTTACCCCCCTCCTCCGTCCATTACGCGCTCATGGCTAAGGTTTGCTTCATTAAGCCCCAGCGATGCACGCCAACCAGGGAGGAAGTAACCTACTTAGTGAGGAACGACTTACTCTGACTGCTGTGATGTGTGTGTGAGAGAGAAAGAGAGTGAGGGGGCGCTTCCACACATCACCACCTGTAATTTAACTGGTTTGCAGGAATGGGAGGACGTGATATTTTTCATATCGCCTAGAGGGAGACTTCATCAGCTCCAGCCAAGCATCTACAATCAGTTCAGCATCCTACCAGCATCCTTCTCTCTGCAGGGATTCAGCCTTCCCCACACACATATAAACACTTCATCCCATGGGGCTACGGTGACACAATGACCTCTATTTTTTCTCATTTCAGTGAAGATGACTGCTATCATCAGATAAAGCCCCCCCTCACTCCGCTGCCTACTCTCCTCTCCCTTCCTGTGGACGGATGGGCAGCATATCATTGCCCCTCTTAGGGTTACTCTGGGGTCAGATTTAGCCAGTGACAGCTCCATTACTCCTAAAAATGTGGGTGGATTCTGTTGGCAGTCTTTAAAATGTATCTCCCACCAAGATTGAGTCACACTGACAAACGTGTCTTTACAGATATTTGTGAAATAATGCAGCTGTTGGGTCTCTCTTACAAAGCCAATACAAGACATCAGCGGGGGTCTGCAGAAAGTTGGCGAAGGAAAAGACACAGGTACACCGCGATAAAGATACCTAAAAATAAAACAATTTGTAATACACCAAACTACAAACTTCACGCTTTTATTTTGTAATCATTTTAATGATCTTAAATAAACACAGTAAAGCCCATGATATGGTTCCTCAAAACAGAAATGTAGTCCTATTATGTGTTAATATGTCTACACATCATGGTTAAGACTGCTGAAAACCCTTCACCAATAAGATTCTGATCAGAGTGCTGTATCCAAACAACTGATCAGAAAAAGATGTGGAAGATAAAAGTGTGAAAGAAAGAGAAGCACAAGGAACAAAGATAACTTCAGCTTGGAGAGAATCTGAAAGTAAAAGTCTATTCAAGAATTTCCTGGAGAGTCAAAAGATGTGGACTGCAGCTCGAGGCAGTGCTTCAAGAAAAACTACATCCAGACATATCCAGAATGGTAGCATTGCTTGTTGCTGCTCTGAAACCTCAGCATTTGATGATGTTGATGTAAGGGGCCATGTCATCTTAAGGTATAACAACCATAGTAACACTTTATTTTGTCGATTAATACTTTATCTGAACTTAACTCTACAGTGGTATAGTCAAAAAGGAAGATGAGAGAAACCCAACTCAACAAAAGAGATTAGCTAAGTAAAATAAGAAAGCTATTACTCTATCTTTAAATCCAAGACTTGATTACTTTCGTGTCATTCTGCACTTTTTCATTAATGTATGCAAAACAAAGGACAGCCAAATAAACTGGATAAACTCTACATTAAATCGACTTAAAATTCATTAGGCTGTATAATCTGGGATCCTTCTAATATGGAAGAATTATAGTGACTTTTTTAAATTAAGGAATTTTATACAGTAGATGGGCTCTAGTCCCCCCCATCTTACCGCTTTATGGTGTGAAGCAATGAGTGCAATTTATAATATTGGTATATCCTCTCAATTCCATTCAATTTAGTCACTGCAGTTCATTTTAATACAATTTACTTAGCGCTTTTGACAAAATATCAAAACATCAAAAACCATACAACTTGGATGAAAACAAGGCAACATTATTGGTGCTGTGGTACTGTATTGGTTGACAATGAGCTCATGCATAAGAGAGCTTACATGGCCTTTTGTAAATCTGGTCTGGTTGTACTTGATTGTTTTTGATTAAAGTTTTGTGGTTGAATGTTTTTCTCCCATCAAATAGCCCAACAGTTTTCAGCTACTTAAACTGAATTTTTTCCCCTTCTCAGGATGAACAAGTTAAATATAACAGGAGGGTAAAAATGTCCTCTGAAATTGGAAGAAGAGTGGATGGAAAGTCTTCCCACGCAGGTAAAAAGCAGCTTTCTGGTGCCCGAGGTTGGAGGCACATTACTAGTCACAAAGGACGACAAGCTGCCAAGAACACCTAGCAAGCGATACAAAAGCGGAGCATCCTCCCTCATTTTTTGCTGAATCCAACCCTACCAGCCTACAGTATAAATTCTCTCGTTCTGAGCAGCCAAACGCCCCCACAGCTTTTTGGTGAGATTTGAGGAAAAAGTTAATTTTCCTGCAGGCGAACACTGAATCCTCTGGGGTCCGCTCCATTTAGCTAGGCCTGTACTTGTTCCCAACACTAAGATATAAAGAGCAGATATGCATATACTGGCATGAACAAGTAAGAGTGTCTGTCATTTGTCTTAACAAATGTTTCATCAATCTATGTTTTCCATATTTCCCAGCTTCCCCCCTGTATCTGTGTTTTAAACATGACAGTAGTAACTCATCATCTAATGGATGGGAAAGCTCCAGTGCACTTTCCTTTCCTGTTAAAAGAAGCAATCCGTTTAGTCAGGCTGTCACAGGAGGATCCTGCTCTTGCAAAGTTCGCCAGCGGAAGAAGGCTGCTGATTCTCTGCACTTCATCTAATTTCACAGCACTGAAACTGTGGTCCCTTTATTCAGGCTGTCCTTGCTGTTTGCAGAGAGCAGGTGAAAGAAATCTCATTTTAGATACTCATGCCAGTGGAGACAACTAAATTTAATTCAGCAGTCCACCAGTGCAGGATACAATGGCAGACTTTCTCTGCTTTCAGGCAGTATTTAACTCAATCACTTAAACACTAGTAGTTATGTATATACACACATTATTTTTGATTAAAGTCAACATGTAATTCTGAGCAGAGGAATCCTGCGGCCACTTTGCAGATGATAGACTAAAGTAAAAATAAATAACATCTACTTTTAAATGTTTTGCTCAGATGTTTCTGTTTACTCAAATATATTTCTTCCACTGGTTATGTCTCTCATGATACTGAAGATGTTTACTGCCTAAAAAAACCCTGCGCTGTATCAGTCACATCATTTTCTTACTCATCAAACCCCTTCATGACCTCCTCCGGCGTTATGGATGCTGACATTGTCATTTAATGAGGAAAAAACAGTTTTAGTACAGAGCTAAGTTGCTTATGAAAGGACATTGCTTTTGAATTTGATAGAATCTGACATAAAGAGAAAACTCCCCACGCAAGACTTAAAAATAACAACGCAAATCCACAAATGGAAAGATACAGCGCTCTCCCCTAAAAAAATCACTGTTCTTTCGTTTTTTTTTTGTCACTGTTAAATACTAAGGATTTCATAATAAGACATAGGAAAAAGGTGGTCATGCAACTGTATATAAATAATACATAACTCCTAAAGCTGAGCCCCTTCACAATATTATAGTTTTCTTTCCTCTTTTTTATTTTTACATTTGTATTTTTTTGTAGGTATTTATGTTGCCCTCTTGCATATCCAACGTTTGCTGAGAGTATGGTCATAAACTGAAGGGCAGACATTCTGTTTGGGGATTTTTTTTGCTCCAGGTTCTTTTATGACCTCCTGGATTAAACCTGGAAAGAAAATGAGTCTGTGATTATGTGTTGCTGTTTAGGATCTTTTAAGTCAACTTCATGTCAGCAGATATTCTATTTAATGGTTTTCCTGATTCTATTGGCAAGGGAATAATATAAGCTTAATGTCATATGGAATAAAGAGGGAGGACCTGTATTTTCCCATAGTGCCAGATTGGCTTGGATAGGTTAGATCTGACTGTGATTTGAATTTGTAGAATGACATAAAAAAAATTAACAGAAAAGCAAAAATAGAAGAACCCGTAGAGAGGCAAATACTTTTTCTTCACATTGTAAATTGATATTAACTAGTGATGTTGCAACTTCATTTTTCCACTACTTAGATTTTGATAATCCCATTTATGCAAGTTAAAAAATATGTGCTCTGAAGACCCAGCAAGTCATTATTCAAATATGTGCAGAGTGTCACAGCCATCTTATCCCTTTGTAATTTTGTATTTTTTCCATTTTGTGTTTAAAAAATACTGTTTTCAAGTAGAAGGAAACCTTTTCCATAGGAACTCTTACATCAGCCAGGCACTGATTCATGCCCACATTGAGGTGCTTATACAGTAGATCAGCTTTATATATATATATATATATATATATATATATATATATATATATATATATATATATATATATATATATATATATATATATATATATATATATATATATATATATATATATAAATATATATATATATATATATATATATATATATATATATATATATATATATATATATATATATATATATATATATATATACGTATATATACTGGGGTTGACTTAGAGTTTTTTCTGGTTTAACAAGTATTTGTATAATATCTTAATTCAGAGAAGTTAACAGTTCCAGGTAGGGACCAGAACCCTGATAGAGAGTAAAATGCAATAAAATCAATATTGCAGGAGATTTTAGCACATCATGCTCATCTTCGTGTTCAAAAGAAATGATAAAACTAGACAAAAAGGAGAGATATGCAAAAATGAGGCAAGTTATAAAATGACTTATTTATTTAAATGTATGAAATGTAAGGAGCCTGAGCTGAAATGGCAATAAGTGGGAATGAAATATTACAGACCACTACAATCTTAACTACATAATAACTACAATCTTCACTTCACCATAGACTTTAAAGAACAGGGCATTTTTAATAATAGATAATGGAACCAGGGGAAGTCATCCTAAAACAATACTATAAGCTCATGTATTGAATTAGTGCTTCATGCCCCTGTTACATTCTGAGTTTTGAGACCTTGCTAAGAGCTTATTTTTGCTATTAAGAATGAAAATTAATAAAACAGCAGTCCAATAGGATAGAAAATATTCACTGTAGTCCTTGTTTAATTAGCAAAGTTTGCATCCTTCAGCAACTGATAATCACAGTCTAAGGTCTCTGCTGTTTTAATTTTTTGCATCATGGTCTGAAATATTTAGAGCAAGTCAGGTCAGATTATACATAAATTAAGACTGTAAACTGAAACAAAAGATCCATGAACATATTAAAACAAATCTCCTCTCCAAAACTGGAAGTATTGTTTGTCCCAAAATCATATTTTAGTCAGCTG